ATCTATTACCTTGCTAACTAAAATCAAAAATTGAAATTAATTCTTAAAATTAAGATTTAAAGCAATAATTTTTTATGGGGCACAAAATTCTACCGTCACGAGCAAAAATTTTTTGAAATTTTTAAAAATCTTGAGCGACCCCTAAACATTTTTTTTTAACTGCCCTTTGGAGGGTATCTTGAAACATGATAAATTAACACATTTTTCGTACAAAAGTCAAAAAAATAGTCGGTTTTTTTGGGCTACCCTAATGATGAGTAGTTACAATTATTTCTATTTTAAAATTCCTACCTTTAATAAAACCGATATTCCCATAAAAACTTTAATCCTCCGTTTCCTGCGTTAAAATGTGAAAATCAAAAAACCGGGAAATACGTTACTATTTATTTATGATGAGTAGCTACAATTCCAATTTTTAAGTTCCAATCTTCAAAAGAAAATCGAATATCCTATACAAACTTTGATATTCAATTTCCTCCCTTAAAATGTGAAAAGTCAAAAACCCTGAAATACTTTAATCACTTCAAGTTCCTACCATTAAAAAAAATTGATGCTCCCACAAAAACTTTCAGCCCCCCGTTTTTCACCCTTAATAGGTGAACAGTCAAAAATCCTGGACAATTACTTTAATTATTTTTCTCTCTAATTTAAAGCTGTTTACACTTTCCTAGAGAGCAAAATTGCTCATTACTAAAACTAGCCGGTTTTTTGATTTTTGCATGTTCTTTCCATTTTACATATTCGAACCACGGACCTTCACCTTTGTTGAATTCTATTTCTTCGTCGTATTCATTTAATTCATTTTTTTCCTTGTTTCTATGTTCTGTAATTATTGAATAAATGCGTGTATGTAAAAGAAATTCTGCACGCCCATGGTTTCTAATTCCTAGAAAATCATTCGTTGTTATCGATCGATATTTCAACGGTGGTATGATGTCTTTTTAAGTTGTAATTAGTTGGCAAATTAGATGTGTTAATAAAATTTCCATTTAATTTTTAAAAATCGGTTGTTTTATTGTTTTAAGGGAAATTATTCATTTGTTTCTTACATGTAATAAAATATTTGCGATTGAAAATATTTTGGTAAAATATTTTATTTTTAAGTGACAACTAAATCAAAATTAATAAGTAATATTTACATTTATCTTCTGGAATATTCCCTAGTGCTAAATATATTAACCTTTTACTGCGTGATTTTGCTATGACACCACAAATATAAAACAAGAACAGGCACAAACGAGATTCGAATCAGATCAAGAGCTTATTGTTTGAATCATTGTTATGTAACATAAAATCAGCATATGGGTGTATAACGGATCTCGCCTATTCTGTATTTTTATTGGATTTCGACTTTATGTATTTAAACTTTTTAATTTAAATTTAAACGTAAATTTTCTTTCCCCTTTGAGGTGGCACTATTAAAGATTGTTGAATTTAAGCTATTGTTGACGAATATACTCGCAAAATTGTAATAATTGATAAGGACCTCTGGTAGTCCAAGTTTTATCCGGATCTCATCTTCCGAAAGCGGTAAGTTTTTTGTCATTGAAAAAATCTAAATAATCTTTACATTTCTACCTTTTGTTTAATTATAAGTAAAATTTTTAAAAATCAATGTTGAATTATTCGATATTATTAATTCCTTTTATGCTTCTGAGATTTCATATTGTTGGTATTAATTTTTAGTGCTGTGAGTGGGTAAATGTATTAATTAATTTTGGCGTATTACCTCAAGGAATTGAAGTCGATTAGTTGAGTTGAGAATCAAAGTCCTGATTGTCACATCTAAGGATCGTAATATCTAAGGATCGTAACTGTGGTTGTATTTTAACTATTTATCGCAATCTAAATTGCCGACGCCAACTAATAAAATTATCGTACGATGGTCCAATTCAGTGTACCTAGAAAATGTATCAGATAATTTTTAGTATTTCTAAAAGCATATAAGATCGCTTATTCTTTGATTTGGATTTTTGATATTACATATAAATTTTATTTGGTATTTGTAAAAGTCTATAAATAATTCCACTGTTAAATAATAAACCAAAATTTATTTATATTCTTTTTAAATCTTATTTTTAATGGTTACAATTATCGTTTTATTAAAATTATATATAATTTCGAGTTAATCAGTTAATTTTGTCCTCCTGGCACTTATTTATAATTCTCAACTAGCTGGTAAAAATAAAAAATAGAGTTATTGGCGCCCATATACCCTAAAAAATATTCCCCATAAATGTCTATTAGAATAGCCTAAATTCAAGACTGAAAAAACTATAATCTCATATGCTCATTTGGATTCCAACTGAATTAAGACGATTAAGGTAAATAAATAGTTTGATATAAATATATCTAAGAGCTAGTTAAAATTAAATATAATTAAATTTAATTTCACGACCTTTTATTAATTATTACAAATTAACTATTTAGTAGGATCGCAACTATCAACTAAGGTATTACTGAGGTTCTACAGTGGTAGAGAGTTAATTTTACCGCAATTTCCGGCCGGTCCTTAAATAAGTAATCACTAGATACTAGAATATCACAAATGTTCAATTATTAGATGGACTAGAAGAAACGGCAATCGGGATAAACAGGGAGTTATGCGATATTCCGTTATATGATATTACTAGCATTGACAGATTGACCGAAAGCCTAACTGAGAGTTTATTAGAGATCACGAGATCCAGCTACAGAAAGTCCAAAGGTGAAAGCAGACTCACGCTCTGGTGGAGCAATAAATAATCTAAATAACAGAAAGAGCAAGGTAACCAGACTAAGAAAAATCTACCAAAGTAAACGCAGAAGAAACCTAGATAATACACAAATGAAATCGGAACCGCATAAAAAAAATCATAGAAAAACTTTCTCGAAATTCATGGGGCACTGTCTGTAAGCTCGTATCAAATTAGTTCAAAACTGCCGCACACGAGGAAATATTAGCTAAAATACTAAGCAGACTAATGCCGGACGATAACCTAAATCTGGATAACGATACAAACAAAGAAATACGAAACCAAGTTTCCCAAACACATGGCGACGAAATCATAGATGTGATCGGCAAGATCATCTTATAAGCATATCCCTATATCAAGAGCCAAACAAGCATATTTCAGAAGGTATTTTCCTTCAAAATGGAAGCAAGAAAAACTTTTTACAATTTTTAAGAACCTGGACAAAGACTTAGCAGATCTAAAATCACTAAGACCTATTTACCTTACTACCAGAACTAGATAAAATCTTAGAAAGTATCGTCTTTAATCAGCTACCCTAAGGAAAGCATGAAAATCAACTCTTTAGCAGGGCTCAATACAAATCCAGAAAGGAAACATCTACGGGAACAGCTCTCGCAGGAATAGCAGAAATAGCAGAAAGTATACACAACAGCCCAAAATGTTGTCTTTTTATCTTCATAGACATTTCAGGGGCTTTCGATAATTAATTGTGGCCAATCATATTCATAGAGTTGACTAAACATTACTATGCATGTTTAAAAGCTACACTGTAAACAAACCATCCACAAAATTTTCCCTTACTGGAACGCTTTGGAATGTGGTCATGAACTCACTTCTCGTTGCCCACTCATTGGAAAAAATTGGAACACTGCAAAGCGGAGAAACACACGTGATTAAAAGAAAATTTTAAAATAAGTATTGTGGTTTGTGGTTGTGTAAGTATCGGGATAAGAAAATGTATACTCAGCAGTTACATTGAATAGAATAACAATGGATTGCAGATAGCAGCACTGTAGTTGATGATTCACAAGAGATCTGGAGAGAATTATTGTCAGTGGAGCTCTAGTAGGGCCAGGAGAGTCAGGAAGAGGATACTCTATGGGTAACAGAGGTATTGGTAACAGAGGAACGATTGGCTAGCTAAGATCAGAATATAGTGAGGTATATAAGCACAACTAACTGGTGAGCGTGGTTTTTTTGGAATCTACAACCGCAGTTTCACACAATTTGACATTTTCACAATTTACACTAGAGGAAACTGAATAGAATTTTGACATTTTTCCCACTGGTTAACACAACATAACAATAAAGACTGAAATGAAGTTGAAAGTAAACTGAGTCATTTAGAAATTTGAAGATAATAATACAACTACCTGAAAGAATATTTAGCAAAATTTGTTGGTTTAAGGAGGGTGTTTATAATTTAATCCTCTCAAGTACCCACACTATTAACCGTAATTTATTACAGGGAAAAGTTAGTCCTTCAAAATTTTAGGAAATCGTTTTGTAAAGGCATTTCACAAAATATCATTTTGTTCCAAAACTTAATATGTCCAGCCAATTAGTACGTCAGATATATGCCAAAAAATTAACAAAATGTCAATATATGAATTCAAAATCAAAAATTGTATATATATATGCAACATATGCAAAATATGGCGTTTTGCATATATTCTTAGCTCTAATGATTACCAATGCGAAATTAATAAATCCATTGGTTTGAATATCAGCTTTTAATGAACTTAGAACAACCTTTTACAACTATTATGGATAATGTCCAATTACCACAGTACGGTGGTCAATAAAGTGCCTAAAATAGCTAGTATAAAAACTGATATAGAGAACTGGTAATTGAACATGGTATTTATTTTGAAATAACTAAACACAGTTAATACATTTGCCAACTTCAATATCTGAGGCACATGTCACAACTATTGAACAAACGTTAAAACTGCGATTCAAAATACAAAAAAGCTCTCAGTCTTCGCGACCCCAATTCGGCACACAAATAATCCACCCGTGTGTCCCTGATTAACTTTTTATATCCCTCCATAGTTTATTATTTTACTTCTGTTTAATAATTATTTATTAACCTTGTACATGATCGCAGCTCAAAATAAATTCGCGAATAGAATAAACAACATTATTTATGCACAGAGAGATACTTTAGTATTAATTAATTTAAAATATGAATTTAATAAAGCGTTAAAATATATTTAGGGATCAAACTTTTCTGGAAACATTTTAATTATAAAACAAACTCACCAGATGCTCATAACTTGATAGGGAGTCCAACAAATAAAGAATACGAACACGATGATAATCGTCATCTTGAGGGTTCTGATTTTGGCTTTGCCCAGGAAGGGCAGGCTGGATCTGGTGATGCTGTCGGCTGTAAAAAGAAAAAAAATAGGACTTAGTAAACGTATTAATTTATACGAGTAAACTGTCGTTTTTATCTTAAACCAGAGCCCGACGAGGGATCAACATTTCGAATTCGTTAAAATTGAGCTGAGCTTCCATGGGCGCCCATAGGAAAAAGTTCAGAAGGAGACGATTTTATTTAAATACAATAGTACGGCATATAAACTCGTTTGTACAGGTTAAATTATAGTAGATAATAATAGTAATAATATGGGGTGGGTAGAGTCTCTGCCTGTGGATCCAAGGGTCCCAGGTTCGAATCCCACCGTTGGCCGGAATTTTTTCATTTAATTTAATTATTTAAAATTAATTCTGATGCCTTGGTAGGATTCCCTACTCGACCATTCACTATTCACTGTTGGGTTCTAATTAACAGTACTGTTCCTAAAGTGGCGCTGGGAAACAGTAACAAAGCCTACACAAAACACGAGGCGAAATAACCTTAGCAGTTGAAAAAAATAATAATAATATTAATAATAATACTCTCCCTAATTCACCCCCTTACGAGTGAATTTTAACCACAAAAGCTGAGCTTGTGCGGGAAAAGGGACGGCTATTATTATTATTTGCCGTGGCGCTCCGGGGCGATGATTGATGGTGCCATTTGACTAACAGCTGAGGAAAACCCGGAAAACGTCACCCACCATCATCAAGACAGTAATGCATGGCGATTTTAAAATCTGCATGTCATTAACAGAAATTGAATTTCTAATAATACGGCACATATCAAGTCCTATACCGAGCCATGAAATTTAATTAAAAATCCACATGGTCTGGTCTGGGATTCGAAGCCCGGCAGTCTCGGACCATAAACTTGCCTATAAATGAATATAAGCGCGTTAGACTGCTACACCACCGACCCGATTCTGTAGTCATGTAGATAAGAGGTATTCTAAATGTAAGAACACCTTTGCTATAAGAGGATCACGTCATAGTTCTAAAAACTTAAGTAGATCGTATGTATGCAATATTTGGCCAATCCTGTCTTAGCGTATGACGTTCTGCTGAATTTTATTGCATGTTATATAAGGTCTTAAAGCCTAAAAGTCTTAACTAACAAAATATTTTTCATAGTATAATTATAATAAATAAATAAATTTAATAAGAATCCATTTATATGACAGCTACATATAACTAACTATGGTTAGTTACTTGTAAAAGTATTTTAAAAATTTTTTTCTACTAAAAAGTCCACTTTTTCGCACTCATTTTAGTGTTGAAAGAGTCACTTTTCCGCACTAGTAAATTTGTTAGGTTTTTGGGGAGTATACTGACATTTGAATATTTAAAATATATATTTGTATGGTTGTAGTTTAAAAAATGACTGAAAAATTAAGAAATTTATTAGAACTCTGCTATAATTTTTAATAAAAAGAAACGTATGTTTCAATAATTTTTTAATGGCCTCATCAAATGAATGTCAAATAGTAATAAACATCTGACATTTTCTATTTGTCACTTTGAATCACCGTAGCAATAAAGAAAAAATAAACCTGTTAGTCAAAACACTACCTTGTCAAAACCAATTTTACTATCGCATCTTGTTCTAGAAGATATTTTTTTATGGATTCTTCAGACGAAGATTTGCCAGAGTCAGTTTTGGAAGAGGCTAGAACTGCAAACTTGGATCTACTACCATCAAAATCCCGTTATAGGTATGAAAAGGAATATATTTTGTTTGAAAACTGGTGCCAGAATAAGGGAATTAAAACTTTTAAAGAAGACGTTTTGTTGTCTTATTTCGCTGAAATTTCCAAAACATGCAAGCCAAACACTCTTTGTTCCAGGTACTCAATGTTAAAAAGTGTAATTAAACTCAAAAAAGACGTCGATTTAAGCAAGTTTTTCAAGGTCACGACATATATAAAACAAGAAACATTGGATTTAGACCAAAAAAAGGAAACAATTTTTCAAAACAAGAAATTTTCATGTTTATAAATGAAGCGCCTGACTAAATTTATCTTCATATAAAAGTCGCTACGATTTTTGGTTTGGCGGGCGCATGTAGGCGAGAAGAATTAACAAAGATGTCATTAGATCATATTGATAACGAAGGAAATATTTTATTGATAAATATCCCAGACACAAAAAACCACTCTTTCAGAAGCTTTGCGATTTCTGAGGAAGCTGAAAATTGAAAATTGCTCAAATTGTTCAGAAAGTAAGTGAGTTTAAGAAAGCCTGAAACCCCACATTAGCGATTTTTCGTGAAATATAAGAAAGGAACTTGCACTGTACAATGTATCGGAATAAACACCTTCGGAAAAATGCCATTAGAGATTGCAAGTTTCCAAATCCTGAATTATATACGGTCCACAGTTTCGCCGCCACAATGCTTGCAGATTCCGGAGAAGGAATAACAAATATTAAATGCCTCGGAGGTTGGAAATCTTCTAGCGTCGCAGAAGGTTATGTAGAAAGTTAACCAAGTTTTCTAAAGGGACTATCGAATAAAATATTAAACTTCAGTGATGCTGTCGCTGGCCCTTCCACGATTCAGCAGCTGTCACCAGTAAAGCCTTCTGAAATGACCTCTTCCAGCCAAGTTCCCATCGCCACGGTTGCAACAATTAGTGCTGACAAAGCAGTGGAAAACCGAAATCAAACTTCATTGGAAAACATTTAAGCCTTTGCAATTAATTTGCAGGATGCTACAAATTGCACGTTCAATATTAATATTAAGAATAATTAATTTGTTGATACGTATTTAATAATAAATGTTTCTTTATTTTATCTTTTGGGGTTTTTCCGCACGCTAGTAGAAAAAAATAGTGGACCTAACACGTGCGTAAAGTATCACTTTCCGCACTTGTTAGGTAAACTTCTATATACTAGACTTGTAACATTTTTTTTGTTACTTTTATTTTTCATTCGCCATAAGAAATATAGAGATTAAAGGTCAAAATCGCAGTTACGGTTTTAACAGAGGTTGAAAAAACTTAACAAAATTTCCTAAACTTTTCCACTTGCCAAAGGATTAAAGGAAACACATAAGAAGTAGCTATAAAGATTATTATCGGAAAAGGCTTACAAGTCTGTAAAACCAACTATTCGGGCTAGATAACTGGGTGTTGAACTTTTGGTTTCTTTTCAGATTTATTTTTATAGCGTGTACGTATTACGAGTCCAAACAACGTACGTTTTTTTATTTTATTTTAAACTGTTTTTTTGTTTGACTTTCCGATTGAAAAATCGAGTCACATACTCTCTAACATAAGGAACTAAATTTCTTACTTTAAATTCAACAAAAACGTGCCTATAAAATCAGAACGTCGATTAGGACTATACTGACGAACACACATACAGACTGAAAAAGATTAAACTTAGTGAGAAAATTGAAGTTAATGTAACCATTAGGACGGTGAAAGATTTGTATACAGAAACAGAATTATTTATGCTCAATGTTCAAGAAGTTGCAAGCAATAATACTCTATAAATGGAAAGTAAAGCCATAGGTAATTATCATAAAGAAGTAGGGGATTTAATACAAAACAAAAAAAAAGGCTCAAAAGGAATGACAGAAAATAGGGGAGACTGGGGTATAATGATCCCCTTAAGGCTAATTTCGTTAGATTTTTGCAAGTACAGGGATATACATTTATTTGTCTTTTCTAGAGGATTTGGTGTCCATTTGACAAAAATTTAGTATTTAAAAATATGTTGATTTTCTTCACATTTTGGAATGACAATGATGTTTGTTAATATCTGCAAACTGATCATTTTACCCAAAACATTATTTTATTACTACACTTTCGATAAATAATATAACAATAAATGCAAAACATTAGTTTATTTATAAAAACAAAGCATACAAAATAACATACAAAGCATTAAAACATTTTTAATACTCTTAAGGGAGTAAACAGAAACTTGCTCAACATTATTTAACAAAATTTACTCAAGCAACTTTTAATACCTTGACTAATTTAAAACTTGCTATTTTTCTTAAACCGATAGGTTTGGGTTTGATGCAAACAGAAATCACACTCAAAATCGCAATCGTTCTCATCGACCCCGGCACACTGATCATGAGCCCATTTTAGGCATTTAATGCACCTGATCCATCCTTCGCCAGTCAAAGAAGCAGCGTATTTTTTGCAGCAAAAGATGCATTCTTCTGATTCTGATCCGCTGTTACTGCTTGAGTCATCACTTTCCCTTACTACTTTTTTGTCTTCTTGTTTAATTTAACTTTCTTCGTGCTTTCTGACTTTGACTTGTTTTCCTTTTTTTTTTCTTAACCTCCAGTTCAATTTTTTTCTACTCTTCAAGCATGATTTTGTATGGGGTAGTCGTAAGCAAAACGGTACCAACAGACTTTCGTTTTTGAGCTGCTCTCTTTCCCTTAATTTTTAGAAGAGGTTTGCAATCAGAAGTTTTCTTAATTATTTTGAGCAGCTTCGTGGGTTTCTTCCGTAACTTCTGCTGCTGCGACATCAGCGTCAGAAAATATGTCATGATCAAAGGGCATAATACCAGTTTTTTTAATAGCATTTATCGCATTTTTCGGTATATATCCATTCAGGTAGGCTTCTGAAAAAATTCTGCTTATCTGGAACGTTGTTACTATTCGGCCTGGATTATTGGTCATCCATTTTTCCAATGACTGGTGCTTGATAGATACATTACTCCTACATCCAGCGGTTGCAACTTATGTGTTTTATGGGAAGCAATCATAATATTACATTGGTATTTTCTTTTGCCTTAGTCAAGACGTTCAGACATTTACTGTGGGTCAAATGTCTATCTAAAATTAGCAAAACGGGATTCTCTTTAGTTGACTTCATAAAATTCATAGAGTAATCAAACTATTGGCCAAACATTTCTAATTTTATCCAGCTGTAATCATTGCAACCGAAAATAGTTCCAGTTGGAGCGCCATCTATCAGTTCCGCTTTTATTCTTTTCCTAATAAAAATTAGCATAGGAGAAACAAAAGCCCCACCAGCAGAAGCACAAATTAGAGCA